CTTCCGTATCGCAGACACCATATTAACATCAAATACATGTACATTGTCCAAACCAAGACACGGGGCAGATTTAAAGGCAGATTGTCCAGAGCCAGTGTGAGCAGAAGCAGAGCGTCTTTGTGTTTTAATATCTGAGGGAAACCCTGAACCATGGCAAACGTGTCATAATGCCAGGCCAATCCACGCTTCATTTAAAACATTTTGCATTTTCTTCTCTGAAGCCTTGTGCTTTTGAAATGAAACTGAAGTGCTCTCAATTACAATCTGAAAGGCAACCTTTCTCTGAATCGACACATTAGGTTCCCTAAAACGTGTGCCGTCCGGAGAGCCATTAGCAGAACTGATGCGTTTCCATCAACATCATCATCATAATAATAATAATAATAATAATAATACGCCGTTGCTTGTTACACAGAATTAAGCATCACCTTCATCTGGATGTCCCTTTGAAATGCTATTAATCGAGAATTTCTCATTGTCGCCGCTTCAAAGGATAAGCGGAGTCCTCAGCATATTTCAGCTGTTTTTCATCACTAAAACAATAGTGTTTTGAGCGAGGCTTCAGCGAAGTGCTCTTTATGCCTCGGCTCATTCAGAGAAGCCTGAAGCGTAGGCCACTCACACGGCAGCAATTAATGCAACTTAAATGAGTCCCATTAGCAGGCCATATTCTGCTCTCCAAACACACATACTGTCAGGCAGAGACACACATCTGTGCGCTTTATCACACACACATCACACTGAGTGAATTAGTAATTCTATTGTGTTTCACTCTGTGTAGTGCTGGGAAAAAATAGTATTTAAAAAAAATGGAAGTCTATTCATAATCTTGCATTTATATATATTTTTCTAATTAAAAACCACATTTATTTGTGATGGTCTATATAATGCTTCAAACCTGTGGGACTCAAATTAATTATTGCCTCTTGTTCAGTTTAATTCAATAAAATAAGCTAAAGTAATACGATTTTTTTTTTTCATTTTGTCACAACTTAATTTAATTGTTCAATCAACTTAATATTTTTAAAACTGAAGTTTACTTAATTTGTGTGAAAACTATATGAATAATTTTTGATTCCAGCATGCTTTGCAAGAGACGACATTAAAGGGATACTCCACCCAAAAATGAAAATTCTGTCATCATTTACTCACCCTCAAGTTGTTGCAAACCTGTATGAGTTTCTTTCTTCTGCTGAACACAAAGGAAGATATTTTGAAGAATGATTGGAACTTTGGCAACATTGACTTCCATAGTAGAAAAAAAAATACTGTGGGTTACTGGTACTGTGGGTTACTGGTACTGTGGGTTACTGGTACTGTAGTTCACTGTTAAACAGTTCTAGGATTAGAGATCGGGACACTTTCTGCCAGTGGCATGACTTGGAAAACCTGGATTCACCCTCATGATTAAACTTCCTTCCTCTTGGTTTAGTCTTGGAAATCTGCAAACCTCACTAGTTCCCTTAAAACACCCGATTATATCTTTATGACTTTATTTCTAATAGAACACTAGTGGGAAATGTGAAGACAATCTGCCTAACGCTGGAAATTCAGTGTTCAATTCCACCTTTCTGCTGAAGTTTAATCAGCTCTGCAGCGCCACCTTGTGTTAAAGATGTTCATAGGAAACACAATGCCATAGAAATAAGATCACTCCTGCAATAACAATAAAACAATAAAATTGAATTTAATTAAATTCTTAAATTATGTTTATGTGTCTGTGCTTTATATCTTCAATCCCCAGTCGTAAGTTTAGACATTCTCATTCTTTATCAACACTGTTAGAATAACAGTAAAATTATGAAAATGATGAAAAAACACAAACACTTTATGATAAGGTTTCATTTCTTAACAGTAGTGCACTAACCAACATAAACTTACAATGAGCAATTTATTTCTACAGCATTAATTAACCTTTGTAACGGTGGCAGCCGCCCGAATACAAATAAATGTCTTTAAAGAAAAGTTCGGGCGCCAGACAGTATGAAAACCTGTCAAAAAAATAATTCAATAAACCCAGGATAGCCAGCAAAATAACCACCGGTTACACAACAAAATTCTAGTAATAATCAAGAAAGCAAAATCATTTCACCATGGATATTTATTCATAATACTACTAATAACACACCATACGTTCCACCCTAGCGGTAGATCTCATCTCTCACTTTCAATTCGTGCAAAACTTCACACGTCACATATAAATCTGAGCAGGACAGGACGTCACTTCACACATAAATCCGTGCAAGACTTCACTCGTCCTTTTTACCCCACAAAGGTATGCTTAAATAAGTTTAAGAATGACATTGATGTAAAATGCTCCTTTTGTGGCTTACATCCTGAAACTATTTCACATTTATTTTGGTCTTGTGAATGCACTTATAAGCTTTGGAAAGACATTAATTCATTTGTAGTTGACAATATTCTTCCTGAGTTCTCCCTGTACTACAAAAATGTAATTTTTGGTTGTTTTAGTGACTGTGGGAAGGACATTGGTGCTCTCTTTCTAGTAAACCTAATCTTATTTGTTGCCAAATTCCATATCCATAAATGTAAATTCAGTAATAAAAAAACACTTTTTTCGGTGCTAAAAACTGAAATGGAACATTATATTTCTACCATCTCTTCCATGCAAAACAAAAAAGCTGTTAAAACTGTAGTTAATTGTACTGTGTTTATTTGAGTAATAATCTTGTGTTTTAGTGTCTGTATTTTTTTATTTATTTGTATTTATTTTATTTTTTTATTTATTTTTATTTTTTGGGGTATTTCTTTAACTTTTGCTACTTTGATTGTATTGTTGATTATCTTCAATAAAAATAAAATAAAAAATAAAATAAACTTCACTCGTCTTCAACGCGTCACTAATCCACGTTGGCAGATTCATTCACAATTGTTCATAAAAAAGAAAAAGAGAAATAAAGTAACCAACTCATTCAGTTCGTTGTAAATCACCAACAGCACAAAATATCATTTTAATAGGCAACGACAATTTATGAAAACAAACAAAGCACACTGAATCTGCAAAAGTGAAATGCGAGGGGTGTATGCGTGTGTAATGATGTGTGTAGGGCTGCCGGCATCGAGGTACTGACCACAATTGCAGGCAAGAAACCGTTTTTTTAGGGAGATCGAGTGTCCTCTTCAACACTGGATAGGCGGATGAAACAGCTTGGCTTGTCTTTAAAACTGTTCCAAAATAGTTTTCCTGGGAATGCACCGACTTTCGCGACGCACCAGACTTCAACCATAGGAAACAACAGATCTGCAAGCAGCAGTTTCTCCCCAATAATCCATCATGATTCCCCTACAAACTTCTCAGTGCACAAACGTGTGACGCGCTCTTTCCAGGTATAACACACTTCCTTATATTCAATTCCCGTCCGTGATTAACGCTGATTTGATTGACATACTCCTCCCATTTTGCGTAACGTGACAGTGAAAGTAAACAATCAATTATGTGACTCGCGGCACAGATTTTCTTCATTGTCACACCTTTCTTAATGCTAGATAATAAAAACGTTCATGTTCGTACATTAAATAATATTAACTGGTACAACTTTTGATCTTAAAAATGTATCAGTAAATGTTTGGATAAACATGAACTAAGATTAATAAATGCTGTAGAAGTATTGATCATTGTTAGATCATGTTAACTAATGAAATCTAACTGTAAATTGTTCCACACTAGTTATGCAAGGAATGATGATTAGTAATGAGTAAAATGAGACTATATTAAAAATCTCTTTTATTTGAGCCTCTTTGTCCAGTTTCCATGTATTCTGCATCATTATTCATTATGAAATGATGTGTAACACTGATCTCTGAGTGAGTCTGCTCTCGATCATGAGACGTGTGATGTACTGTGGAATGTACAGATCTAATGCACAGCCACATCTGATGGCCTTCAGGAGCTTCTGTGCATATTTGCCCTCTGGATAAACGTGTGACTCTCACAGGGACAGTCGGGGCAGCGCTTCCAGTCTTCCTGTGGAGAAAGAAAAGGTGCAGCACTTCCAGGGTTCTGTGAGGAAAGCTGCTTATCCTCCTCTGTGTGGCGAGTGTTGCTGAGAGTGTCTGAGTCTGAGGATTGAGAAAGGCTTTGGTCAGTGACCCGGTCAGTCACGAGAACGACCCGCAGAGCCCCGGAGGAATTCAGAGAGCAAACACACACACACACACACACACACACACACTCTCTCACTCTCTCTCTCTCTCTCTCTCTCTCTCTCTCTCTCTCTCTCTCTCTCTCTAATTATGTTTTTCTATATGTTAAAACATTTTTTAAAGGGATACTCCACCCAAAAATTAAAATTCATCATTTACTCACCCTCAAGTTGTTGCAAACCTGTATGAGTTGAGCTGAACACAAAGGAAGATATTTTGAAGAACGATTGGAACTTTGGCAACATTGACTTCCATAGTATTTTTTTTTTTTTTTCTACTATGGAAGTCAATGGTGCCAAACAACTGTTGGTTCCAATCGTTCTTCAAAATATCTTCCTTTGTGTTCAGCAGAAGAAAGAATTAAAGAAACAGGTTTGCAACAACTTGAGGGTGAGTAAATGATGACAGAATTTTCATTTTTGAGTATCCCTTTAATGGTGGAATAAATTGCTTTAAAAAGTTTCTCTGAAATCTGAAACTGGATCATGAGTTACACAGAAAACCCTTTCTCAGCTCCTAACCACAGGAACACACTGTGATATGATCATAAACATCTGAAGGACAGCAACATAAACTGCGGTTATTTGCTCTTGAAGAGTTGATCCATTGAGGAACAGGCTTTTCCCTCAGGGTTTTTCGTGGCATTAGTGTCAGGTGACGGCCACGGGACGGCCGAGTAATCCCACCATACAGCGTATAAATCCAGTGATGGGAGAATGAGCATGTCATGTGTGTGAGGACGGCATTATACGCGTGTTATCCTTAAACACACACTGATTCTGTGTGCTTGTGCTCAGGGATACGCTGTGGGATCTGAAGCTGAAGATATCGCAGAGATGAGGAGATTGCTTGTGTTGGCTCTGTTCTGTCTGGGATGGATAAACCTGACGGAGGCTCAGTTTCCCCGGGTCTGCTGTACCGTTGAGGGAATCGTGTCTAAAGAGTGTTGTCCCGCGCTGGGATCCGAGCCGGAGAACCGATGTGGAGTTCTGTCGGGTCGGGGAAACTGCAGTGACGTTCGCATCGACTCCAGACCGTGGGGAGGACCGTACCGACTGAGGAACGTGGACGACCGGGAGAAGTGGCCAACCAAGTTCTTCAACCGGACCTGCCGATGCTTTGGTTTGTGTGAAACTAAATCATTTTAATTGTCTGTCAAATTGTAGGACTTGTTAATGACTGTTTACATACTTCTGCATGACATACCTGGATATCAACCTTAAATATATATTATGATATGGATCAGAAGTCATTTTTTTAGGGATTATATATTATATATATACACTACCAGTCAAAAGTTTTGGATCGGTATGATTTTTTTTACGTTCTTAAAAGAAGTCTCTTCTGCTCACCAAGGCTGCATTTACTTGATTTAAAATAGAACAACAAATAAAACCCAGTAATATTGTGAAATATTTTTACAATTTAAAACAATTTAACAGTGTGAATATACAGTAAAGTGTAATTTATTCCTGTGATCAAAGCTGAATGTTCAGCATCATTACTCCAGTCTTCAGTGTCACATGATCCTTCAGAAATCACTCTGATATGAGGATCTGATGCTCAAGACACATTTATGATTCTTGTGAACAATTTTTTTTTTCAGGATTCTTTAATGAATAGAAAGTCCAAAAGAACAGTATTTATTTGAAATAGAATCTTTTGGACAATACAAATCTTACTGATCCAAAACCTTTAAATGGTAATGTATGTATATATATATATTAGGGCTGTCAAATGATTAATCGTGATTAATCACGTCCAAAATAAAAGTTTTTTTTACATAATATATGTGGGTGCACTGTGTATAATTATTTTATATATATAAATACACACACATGCTTGTATATATTTAAGAAATATTTTCATGTATATACTGTATATAGATTTATATATAATTTATATTATATATAAATATAAATATTCTATATATAAATAATATTTTTTTCTTAAATATACATGCATGTGTGTGTATTTATATATATATACAAAATAATTATACACAGTGCACCCACATATATTATGTAAAAAAAACTTTTATTTTGGATGTGATTAATCGTGATTAATCATTTGACAGCCCTAATATATATACAAACCTATACTATAAACTTATATATATATCTAAATAAACTTGATCAGGGAACTTCGCTGGCTATAACTGTGGCGAGTGTAAGTTCGGCTGGACCGGGTCGGACTGTGAACAGCGTAAAGCTCCGGTTGTGAGGAAGGACATTCTCTCTCTGAGCGCCGACGAGCTCCAGGAGTTCCTCAGTGTTCTGGACCGGGCCAAAAGCACCGTTCACCCGGAGTACGTGATCGCCACTCAGCACTGGCTGGGTCTGCTGGGACCCAACGGCACCGAGCCCCAGTTCACCAACATCTCCATATACGACCTGTTCGTCTGGCAGCACTACTACTCCGTGAGGGACACACTGCTAGGTGAGGAACTAACTAACCCTAACTCGAACCCAAACCTGAACCCGAACCCCACGCTGCTAGGTGAGGAACTAACTAACCCTAACCCAAACCCAAACCCGAACCCCACGCTGCTAGGTGAGGAACTAACTAACCCTAACCCAAACCCAAACCTGAACCCGAACCCCACGCTGCTAGGTGAGGAACTAACTAACCCTAACCCAAACCCAAACCCGAACCCCACGCTGCTAGGTGAGGAAATAACTAACCCTAACTCGAACCCAAACCCGAACCCGAACCCCACGCTGCTGAGGAACTAACTAACCCGAACCCTAACCGCTGGATTAAACCATCAACATTCCTCAAAGAAGAGTCAGAAACATAAAAAACAGAAAGGTGGTTTCATTTCAAACCTTTTCATTTTTCTCCATCATTCATAGCCAATGTTTTATAGTCACTGCTATAATTTCAGTGACGTAGAAAAAATAAAAGGAATTGTTTATTTGATTACATTTTGAAAGATTAATTAAATTATTCATTTTTTACGCCTTCATTTGGTTACAGAATTTCTGAAAAATTTAACATTTTAAAGGACCCAGTTATTGTAAAAAATAAAAATTAATTGTTTAAGTTTTATGAAATCAGTTGATTAACTATTAACCAATTGATTGAGCATTAAAATGGCCAGGGGTAAGGGTTAGTTTAAAAAAAGGAAAATTGAGTTACTAAAAAATTTAACTGGAGGGGGAAAAAACTGAATTTGGAGAAATACATTTATTTGATTGGGCCCTACTAATGTACGTCTGCACGTGGTGTATGATGTGGTTATGTGATTATGATATTGACCTGTTTCTGCTGGCAGGTCCAGGACGTCCTTTCAAAGCCATCGACTTTTCCCACAAGGGTCCGGCGTTTATCACCTGGCACCGATTCCATCTGCTCAGCCTGGAGAGAGAACTACAGGTCAGAACTACACTAACACTAATTACAGGTCAGAACTACAGTAATCCAAACTACAGGTCAGAACTACACTAACACTAACTACAGGCCAGAACTACACCAACACTAACTACAGGTCAGAACTACACTAACTACAGGCCAGAACTACACTAACACTAACTACAGGTCAGAACTACACTAACCCTAACTACAGGTCAGATCTACACTGACACTAGCTACAGGTCAGATCTACACCAACACTAGCTACAGGTCAGATCTACACCAACACTAGCTACAGGTCAGATCTACACCAACACTAACTACAGGTCAGATCTACACCAACACTAGCTACAGGTCAGATCTACACTAACACTAACTACAGGTCAGATCTACACTAACACTAACTACAGGTCAGATCTACACCAACACTAGCTACAGGTCAGATCTACACCAACACTAACTACAGGTCAGATCTACACCAACACTAGCTACAGGTCAGATCTACACTAACACTAACTACAGGTCAGATCTACACTAACACTAACTACAGGTCAGATCTACACTAACACTAACTACAGGTCAGATCTACACTAACACTAACTACAGGTCAGATCTACACTAACACTAACTACAGGTCAGATCTACACTAACACTAGCTACAGGTCAGATCTACACCAACACTAGCTACAGGTCAGATCTACACCAACACTAGCTACAGGTCAGATCTACACTAACACTAACTACAGGTCAGATCTACACCAACACTAGCTACAGGTCAGATCTACACCAACACTAGCTACAGGTCAGATCTACACCAACACTAGCTACAGGTCAGATCTACACCAACACTAGCTACAGGTCAGATCTACACCAACACTAACTTCAGGTCAGAACTACACTAACACTAACTACAGTTCAGATCTACACCAACACTAACTACAGGTCAGATCTACACTAACCCTAACTACAGGTCAGATCTACACTAACCCTAACTACAGGTCAGATCTACACTAACACTAACTACAGGTCAGATCTACACTAACACTAACTACAGGTTAGATCTACACCAACACTAGCTACAGGTCAGATCTACACCAACACTAGCTACAGGTCAGATCTACACCAACACTAGCTACAGGTCAGAACTACACTAACACTAACTACAGTTCAGATCTACACCAACACTAGCTACAGGTCAGATCTACACCAACACTAACTACAGGTCAGATCTACACCAACACTAGCTACAGGTCAGAACTACACTAACACTAACTACAGTTCAGATCTACACTAACACTAACTACAGGTCAGATCTACACTAACACTAACTACAGTTCAGATCTACACTAACACTAGCTACAGGTCAGATCTACACCAACACTAACTACAGGTCAGATCTACACCAACACTAGCTACAGGTCAGATCTACACCAACACTAACTACAGGTCAGATCTACACCAACACTAGCTACAGGTCAGAACTACACTAACACTAACTACAGTTCAGATCTACACCAACACTAACTACAGTTCAGATCTACACCAACACTAACTACAGGTCAGATCTACACTAACCCTAACTACAGGTCAGAACTACACCAATACTAACTACAGGTCAGATCTACACTAACCCTAACTACAGGTCAGAACTACACCAACACTAACTACAGGTCAGATCTACACTAACCCTAACTACAGGTCAGATCTACACTAACACTAGCTACAGGTCAGAACTACACCAACACTTACTACAGGTTAGATCTACACTAACACTAACTACAGGTCAGATCTACACTAACACTAACTACAGGTCAGATCTACACTAACACTAGCTACAGGTCAGAACTACACTAACACTAACTACAGGTCAGAACTACACTAACACTTGCTACAGGTCAGAAAATACATTAACACTAACCATACAGGTCATAACTCCACTAACCCTAACTACAGGTCAGATCTACACTAACACTAACTACAGGTCAGATCTACACTAACACTAACTACAGGTCAGAACTACACTAACCCTAACTACAGGTCAGATCTACACTAACTACAGGTCAGATCTACACTAACTACAGGTCAGATCTACACTAACTACAGGTCAGATCTACACTAACTACAGGTCAGATCTACACTAACTACAGGTCAGAACTACACTGACACTTACTACAGGTCAGAAAATACATTAACACTAACCATACAGGTCATAACTCCACTAACCCTAACTACAGGTCAGATCTACACTAACACTAGCTACAGGTCAGATCTACACTAACACTAACTACAGGTCAGAACTACACTAACCCTAACTACAGGTCAGATCTACACTAACTACAGGTCAGATCTACACTAACTACAGGTCAGATCTACACTAACTACAGGTCAGATCTACACTAACTACAGGTCAGATCTACACTAACTACAGGTCAGATCTACAGTAACTACAGGTCAGAACTACACTAACTACAGGTCAGATCTACACTAACTACAGGTCAGAACTACACTAACTACAGGTCAGATCTACACTAACTACAGGTCAGAACTACACTAACTACAGGTCAGATCTACACTAACTACAGGTCAGATCTACACTAACACTAACTACAGGTCAGATCTACACCAACACTAGCTACAGGTCAGATCTACACCAACACTAACTACAGGTCAGATCTACACCAACACTAGCTACAGGTCAGAACTACACTAACACTAACTACAGTTCAGATCTACACCAACACTAACTACAGTTCAGATCTACACCAACACTAACTACAGGTCAGATCTACACTAACCCTAACTACAGGTCAGAACTACACCAATACTAACTACAGGTCAGATCTACACTAACCCTAACTACAGGTCAGAACTACACCAACACTAACTACAGGTCAGATCTACACTAACCCTAACTACAGGTCAGATCTACACTAACACTAGCTACAGGTCAGAACTACACCAACACTGACTACAGGTTAGATCTACACTAACACTAACTACAGGTCAGATCTACACTAACACTAACTACAGGTCAGATCTACACTAACACTAGCTACAGGTCAGAACTACACTAACACTAACTACAGGTCAGAACTACACTAACACTTGCTACAGGTCAGAAAATACATTAACACTAACCATACAGGTCATAACTCCACTAACCCTAACTACAGGTCAGATCTACACTAACACTAACTACAGGTCAGATCTACACTAACACTAGCTACAGGTCAGATCTACACTAACACTAACTACAGGTCAGAACTACACTAACCCTAACTACAGGTCAGATCTACACTAACTACAGGTCAGATCTACACTAACTACAGGTCAGATCTACACTAACTACAGGTCAGATCTACACTAACTACAGGTCAGATCTACACTAACTACAGGTCAGAACTACACTGACACTTACTACAGGTCAGAAAATACATTAACACTAACCATACAGGTCATAACTCCACTAACCCTAACTACAGGTCAGATCTACACTAACACTAGCTACAGGTCAGATCTACACTAACACTAACTACAGGTCAGAACTACACTAACCCTAACTACAGGTCAGATCTACACTAACTACAGGTCAGATCTACACTAACTACAGGTCAGATCTACACTAACTACAGGTCAGATCTACACTAACTACAGGTCAGATCTACACTAACTACAGGTCAGATCTACAGTAACTACAGGTCAGAACTACACTAACTACAGGTCAGATCTACACTAACTACAGGTCAGAACTACACTAACTACAGGTCAGATCTACACTAACTACAGGTCAGATCTACACTAACTACAGGTCAGAACTACACTAACTACAGGTCAGATCTACACTAACACTAACTACAGGTCAGATCTACACTAACACTAACTACAGGTCAGAACTACACTGACACTTACTACAGGTCAGAAAATACATTAACACTAACCATACAGGTCATAACTCCAGTAATCCTAACTGCAGATCAGAACTACACTAAACTACTGGAATTATCGGTTGGACAGAAAAAGTAAATAATCATTTCATTTGTAAATCGCTAATCATCATAATATTTGAGCACAAGTGTAGATTGTTTTTTTTTTACTTTAACTAATTTCAATAATTTAACCAATAATAAAAAAGAAAAATTTGTGGTCCGTTGCTTTCAACGTTTTACAAGAAAATACTCTTTTATTCTTCCTACTTCAAAATTCCATGTTGAATTCAATGCGTTTTATGCCGCAACTGTGTAACTAATTGAGAAATTTACTAGCAATTTCTGTGTGTAAATTGTTTCCACACCCAGTTTTTTTTTCTTTCTCGAGTATACTTAAAAATGTAGGCAGCAACAGGACTGAATTTTTAAAGTCAAACAAGGTGCATTTTTTAAACACTATTGTGCCTTGGCGAGTATGTTAAAATTTTTATTCTGAGAAATATAAGCTAGAATCTAGATTCCTCTTGGGTGAATTCAGCAGTAAGACAAAAGGAACTGGTGTTTCTTCCCCTCTCAGAAGCTCACGGGGAACGAGAACTTCGCTGTGCCGTACTGGAGGTTTGCGACGGGTCGTCAGGAGTGTGACGTGTGCACAGACGCTCTGCTGGGAGGACCACACCCCGGGGACCCGTCCCGGATCAGCCCCGGATCACGCTTCTCACGCTGGCCCGTGGTGTGCGACAGGTGCGTTTCAGAGGAAAGCCAGTCAAACCACTCAACTCTGCTGAGACATGATCAGAGGTTTCATCTGTGACACAGTCTTTTCGAGGCTCTTAAAAGTGTAAAAACGGACTTACAATCTGGGGTAAAAGATCATATTGGATTATTAAGAAAATAAATGGTTTCACTTTATTTCGATAGTCCACTTTAGCCATTCAACTAACTATAAGTAACTTTGCAACTACATTTCAACTAACTCTCATTAGAGTATTAGTAGACTGTCAGTAGACTGTTAGGTTAGGGTTCGGTTAGTAGAACAAGTTGACTTGTAGTTGCCAAGTTACTTATAGTCAGTAGAATATCTTTTGGTGGACCATCAAAATAAAGTGTTATCAGATATTAAGCAGACAGTCTACTAATACTCTATTTACAGTTAGTTGATATGTAGTTGCAAAGTTACTTATAGTTAGTAAAATATCTAAAGTGGACTATCGAAATAAAGTGTTACCAAATAAATTAACAGGAACCACTAGAACATCCTCAATTGCAAACACGTCTGTTTTTATTTTAATTGTAGGTTTAGTCATTTGATGTACTTTTCCCTACTTTTATTACTTTATTTTTAAATATTTCTGTTTAGCTTTATTTATTTTTCAGTTTTAGTCATTTTAGTCATTTTAACTTAATTGCTGATGCAACAAGTCTCATTTTTTTCATCTAATATTTATATATTATTTCATATAGTTCAATAATGTTCTGAAACAGTGTTTTAGTACACAATGACACTGAAACACCAGAAGATTAATTTATCCAATCAACAATGATTAATGACTCAAAATATATGCTTTAACCTTTCAGTTATACACACAATGGCATTCAGACAATTATGCATACAATAAAGAAACGCACAAAAAGTTGGGGACACTTAATATTCATCAATAATACTGATCTCCTGCATTGACAGCATTATATGAGAACTGAACTGAGCTGGACGAGGACATCACGGTTTTCTCCAGAGCGGCTATATATATAAATTAACTAAATTAATAACTTTTTTACAGCAAAAATGATCCATCACTGAACTTACTTAAGCTGGACTGTGATGCTATTTTCTTAAAAAAAACTTTGTTGCATTATTTTGTTGAAACTATCTTTTACTATTGTAAAAAGTGCTATATAAATAAAGGTGACTTGACTTGACAAAATGCTCATCCAAAAACAATTCCAGTAGGAGTCGTCTGTCATGATTAGATAAAACCACTTTTAAAGACAGAAAAGGCTTTCTTTTCCTACAACATGACTGACTCCCTGGGTAAGCCTAACCCTAACACGACCTCATGAAAATGAAAATGCGTACAAAATTTTTATTTATCGTGCAATTTATACGTAAAAAATTGTTTTTACTTGCATATGATACGCACTGTAAACCCCTTGGGTAGGATCAGTAGTGTGGAGTATGTGCATATTACACGCCATAAAGTGCGTATCATATGCATGTAAAAAATATTTTTTTGCGTATAAATTGCACGATAAATACAATTCGTGCTATAGATACGCACTTTCATGAGATCGGGGTGGAAGTTACTTCTCAGTTGAATGAGACACTGCCATGCGTTCCTGCTCCAGAATCCCGTACTGACGTTCTTCATCTTCTTCTTCCTCCAGTCTGGATGAGTATAACCGTCTGGTGACCCTGTGCAACGGCACTAGCGAGGGGACACTACGCAGGGGACTCACACAGGGCACAAATGTGACTCTCCCAACCATGAGTGACGTCAGAAGCTGCCTGAACCTGCGAGAGTTCGACAGCCCACCGTACTTCACCAACTCCAGCTTCAGCTTCAGGTGATCTCGCAAACACACACAAAACAACTACATATATTCTGTCTCTCAAATAATAACGGTAACTCCACTGAAATTATTTGAAACTAAAGTAAGGTTTAACAAGCACAAAAGGGTAGTGTGGGAGAAACTAAGCTTTTTAAAGCTTTGAATCAATTGAACCGATTGCTTCACAAAATGATTCTGTTTCGAAGCGTTCAAAACGCCACTCGCTGGTGACCCCTGCTGGTCAGAACAGTGGAAATGCAACAACAACTCAGCCCAAACATGCTTAAAACAACCTTTTACAAACCCATAGCAAATGCTTTCTACAAACCCTAATGTTCTCTCTCTGCAGGAACGCTCTGGAGGGATTCGACCGGCCTGATGGTGAACTGGACTCTTCAGTCTCGAACCTTCATAACCTCGTGCATCAGTTCCTCAGCGGGACCAGCGCTCAGTCCCACTCCGCTGCCAACGACCCCATATTCCTGGTAATATCACTATCACATTCAATAATCACAGCGACCCCATATTCCTGGTAATATCACAATCACATTCAATAATCACAGCGACCCCATATTCCTGGTATTATCACAATCACACTCAATAATCACAGCGACCCCATATTCCTGGTAATATCACAATCACATTCAATAATCACAGCGACCCCATATTCCTGGTAATATCACAATCACATTCAATAATCACAGCGACCCCATATTCCTGGTATTATCACAATCACACTCAATAATCACAGCGACCCCATATTCCTGGTAATATCACAATCACATTCAATAATCACAGCGACCCCATATTCCTGGTAATATCACTATCACATTCAATAATCACAGCGACCCCATATTCCTGGTATTATCACAATCACACTCAATAATCACAGCGACCCCATATTCCTGGTAATATCACAATCACATTCAATAATCACAGCGACCCCATATTCCTGGTATTATCACAATCACACTCAATAATCACAGCGACCCCATATTCCTGGTAATATCACAATCACATTCAATAATCACAGCGACCCCATATTCCTGGTAATATCACAATCACATTCAATAATCACAGCGACCCCATATTCCTGGTAATATCACTATCACATTCAATAATCACAGCGACCCCATATTCCTGGTAATATCACTATCACATTCAATAATCACAGCGACCCCATATTCCTGGTATTATCACAATCACACTCAATAATCACAGCGACCCCATATTCCTGGTAATATCACAATCACACTCAATAATCACAGCGACCCCATATTCCTGGTAATATCACAATCACATTCAATAATCACAGCGACCCCATATTCCTGGTAATATCACTATCACATTCAATAATCACAGCGACCCCATATTCCTGGTAATATCACAATCACATTCAATAATCACAGCGACCCCATATTCCTGGTATTATCACAATCACACTCAATAATCACAGCGACCCCATATTCCTGGTAATATCACAATCACATTCAATAATCACAGCGACCCCATATTCCTGGTAATATCACAATCACACTCAATAATCACAGCGACCCCATATTCCTGGTAATATCACAATCACACTCAATAATCACAGCGACCCCATATTCCTGGTATTATCACAATCACATTCAATTATCACAGCGACCCCATATTCCTGGTAATATCACAATCACATTCAATATTCACAGTGACCCCATATTCCTGGTAATATCACAATCACATTCAATATTCACAGTGACCCCATATTCCTGGTAATATCACAATCACATTCAATATTCACAGTGACCCCATATTCCTGGTAATATCACAATCACATTCAATAATCACAGCGACCCCATATTCCTGGTAATATCATATTCCTGGTAATATCACATTCACATTCAATATTCACAGTGACCCCATATTCCTGGTAATATCACAATCACATTCAATATTCACAGTGACCCCATATTCCTGGTAATATCACAATCACACTCAATAATCACAGCGACCCCATATTCCTGGTAATATCACAATCACATTCAATATTCACAGTGACCCCATATTCCTGGTAATATCACAATCACATTCAATAATCACAGCGACCCCATATTCCTGGTATTATCACAATCACATTCAATTATCACAGCGACCCCATATTCCTGGTAATATCACAATCACATTTAATATTCACAGTGACCCCATATTCCTGGTAATATCACAATCACATTCAATAATCACAGCGACCCCATATTCCTGGTAATATCATATTCCTGGTAATATCACAATCACATTCAATAATCACAGCGACCCCATATTCCTGGTAATATCATATTCATGGTAATCTCACAATCACATTAAATAATCACAGCGACCCCATATTCCTGGTAATATCACAATCACATTCAATATTCACAGCGACCCCATATTCCTGGTAATACAACAATCACATTCAATAATCACAGCGACCCCATATTCCTGGTAATATCACAATCACATTCAATAATCACAGCGACCCCATATTCCTGGTAATATCACAATCACATTCAATAATCAGAGCGACCCCATATTCCTGGTAATACAACAATCACATTCAATAATCACATCAACCCCATATTCCTGGTAATATCACAATCACATTCAATAATCACAGTGACCCCATATTCCTGGTAATATCACAATCACATTAAATAATCACAGCGACCCCATATTCCTGGTAATATCACAATCACATTCAATATTCACAGCGACCCCATATTCCTGGTAATACAACAATCACATTCAATAATCACATCAACCCCATATTCCTGGTAATATCACAATCACATTCAATAATCACAGTGACCCCATATTCCTGGTAATATCACAATCACATTAAATAATCACAGCGACCCCATATTCCTGGTAATATCACAATCACATTCAATAATCACAGCGACCCCATATTCCTGGTAATATCACAATCACATTCAATAATCACAGCGACCCCATATTCCTGGTAATATCACAATCACATTAAATAATCACAGCGACCCCATATTCCTGGTAATATCACAATCACATTCAAGAATCATAGCGACCCCATATTCCTGGTAATATCACAATCACATTCAATAATCACAGCGACCCCATATTCCTGGTAATATCACAATCACATTCAATAATCATAGCGACCCCATATTCCTGGTAATATCACAATCACATTAAATAATCACAGCGACCCCATATTCCTGGTAATACAACAATCACATTCAATATTCAGAGCGACCCCATATTCCTGGTAATATCACAATCACATTCAATAATCACAGCGACCCCATATTCCTGGTAATATCACAATCACATTCAATAATCACAGCGACCCCATATTCCTGGTAATATCACAATCACATTAAATAATCACAGCGACCCCATATTCTTGGTAATACAACAATCACATTCAATTATCACAGCGACCCCATATTCCTGGTAATATCACAATCACATTCAATAATCACAGCGACCCCATATTCCTGGTAATATCACAATCACATTCAATATTCACAGCGACCCCATATTCCTGGTAATCTCACAATCACATTAAATAATCACAGCGACCCCATATTCCTGGTAATATCACAATCACATTCAATATTCACAGCGACCCCATATTCCTGGTAATATCACAATCACATTAAATAATCACAGCGACCCCACATTCCTGGTAATATCACAATCACATTCAATATTCACAGCGACCCCATATTCCTGGTAATACAACAATCACATTCAATAATCACAGCGACCCCATATTCCTGGTAATATCACAATCACATTCAATAATCACAGCGACCCCATATTCCTGGTAATATCACAATCACATTAAATAATCACAGCGACCCCATATTCCTGGTAATATCACAATCACATTCAATAATCATAGCGACCCCATATTCCTGGTAATATCACAATCACATTAAATAATCACAGCGACCCCATATTCCTGGTAATACAACAATCACATTCAATATTCACAGCGACCCCATATTCCTGGTAATATCACAATCACATTCAATAATCACAGCGACCCCATATTCCTGGTAATATCACAATAACATTCAATAATCACAGCGACCCCATATTCCTGGTAATATCACAATCACATTAAATAATCACAGCGACCCCATATTCCTGGTAATACAACAATCACATTCAATTATCACAGCGACCCCATATTCCTGGTAATATCACAATCACATTCAATAATCACAGCGACCCCATATTCCTGGTAATATCACAATCACATTAAATAATCACAGCGACCCCATATTCCTGGTAATATCACAATCACATTCAATAATCACAGCGACCCCATATTCCTGGTAATATCACAATCACATTCAATAATCACAGCGACCCCTTATTCCTGGTAATATCACAATCAAATTCAATAATCACAGCGACCCCATATTCCTGGTAATACAACAATCACATTCAATAATCACAGCGACCCCATATTCCTGGTAATATCACAATCACATTCAATAATCACAGCGACCCCATATTCCTGGTAATACAACAATCACATTCAATAATCACAACGACCCCATATTCCTGGTAATATTACAATCACATTCAAAAATCACAGCGACCCCATATTCCTGGTAATATCACAATCACATTCAATAATCACAGCGACCCCATATTCCTGGTAATATCACAATCACATTCAATAATCACAGCGACCCCATATTCCTGGTAATATCACAATCACATTCAATAATCACAGCGACCCCATATTCCTGGTAATATCACAATCACATTCAATATTCAGAGCGACCCCATATTCCTGGTAATATCACAATCACATTCAATAATCACAGCGACCCCATATTCCTGGTAATATCACAATCACATTCAATAATCACAGCGACCCCATATTCCTGGTAATATCACTATCACATTCAATAATCACAGCGACCCCATATTCCTGGTAATATCACTATCACATTCAATAATCACAGCGACCCCATATTCCTGGTAATACAACAATCACATTCAATATTCACATTCAGTCTATCTGAACTCTGATCCCGACCCAGACACACGTTCTCTTACGCAGAGGTGTAAAGAGTTCCTGAAAACCACACTTGAGTAAAAGTACAGATACCTTACAGTGAAAATTACTCCATTTTACAAATTACCAATTTCAATACGTTTTGAGAAAGTCTTAAGAGTATCTGATTGAACAGTACTTAAGTATTTTACTCAAACTGAACGTAGGCACCTAAGAGACATGCAAAGATGCAAGAAACAGTTGATTTGTGAGGAGAGCGATCACTTTTATTTTCTAAAATCTAAATAAAACTGAACACCTCAATATTGCAATAAATCAAGGTCGACACAAAACGTCTTAAACGTCTACAAACTCTCAAGTCTCAGTTGAGCTCAAGTGCACAAAAGTAAACCAATATCCTTCAAAAAAGTAGCTTCAATATAACGGATAAATAAAATAATGTCAAGTAAAATTAAATAGTCAAAGCTCACTTGCACTAGAAGTGCTGGTTTCGGCCTCATCTCATGTATGAAGCACCTGCGATTGAGGAACTAATGCACTCGCATTCGTGTAAAGTAGCCTTGTTGACCAGTTCGGGTGAGAAAAGGCAAAACACACACAGATATAGTTCCTTCAAAGCCCTTAGACGACGGAATCACTTCGTTATAGCAGTAATAAACTGGGTAACGCGTCCTTTTACAGTACAGTACTTACGTGTACTTACCTAGAAAGTACTGGCTAATATAAGGTAAGTACATGGGTTAGGGGTAGGTTCAGGTTTTAGTACCTAGTTATTACCCAGTAATTGTAATTACTATAATAAGAACATCGTATGTACATGGGTAACAGGACTGTAAAAGGAAGCGTGACCAAACTGCAGCAGAATAAGTTAGGTGTGTAACTACAAAATGTAATGAGTAATTGCATTACTCTTCACAAATGTATTAGAATAAAAAGTACATATACTTGTTCAAAAATGTAGTCAAGTAGAGAGTAAAAGTTGCTGGCTTGCATTTCCCCCTGGACTGAACACACTGCCACGGCCAGGTGCTGCACTCCTTCACCGACGCCATCTTCGAGGAGTGGATGCGGCGCTCCCGGGAGAACGGCAGCTTCCCGGATGAGATGGCCCCGATCGGACACAACCGGCACTACAACATGGTTCCCTTCTTCCCGCCCGTGACCAACGAGGAGATCTACGTGGCGGCTGAACAGCTGGGGTATTCCTACGCCATTGACCTCGAAGGTGATAAACGTGCCGTTTGCAGTCTTTCATCATATTCATCAGAAAATGTGATTCTGTCATTGTTTATGTCGGCTCAAACTCATATGCTGATATTTTGGAAGAACAGTTCCTACTGACCTCGACTGTCCAGCATGAGACCAATCACCGTAACGATGAGGACTTAATGAGCTCATAATGCATGTAAAAACCACAGCATACTGGTGTGGAGCGACAGCAGGGTGAATTAATAATGACAGGACTTTCATTTTCAACTATTCGTTTAAACAATTTGAGGGAACCTTTATTCTGAATCAACAAGATATGATGTGCACTACCGTAAAAAAATTTAACAATTAACATTTGTCAATAAGAGAGTCTCTTCTGCTCACCAAAGCTGCATTTATTTGATAAAAAAATACAGTAAAACAGTGAAATATTACTCCAGTGTAAATCAGCTGTTTTCTATGTGAATATATAGTAAAGTGTAATTTACTCCTGTGATCAAAGCTGAATTTTATTTCTGTGGAAATTGTGTTTTTACTGTATTCTTGATCAAATAATTTCAGCTTTTCTGAGCAGAAGAGACTCTTTAGAAACACTGAACAATCCTAATGATTCCAAAGGTTGACGGCTAGTGTGTGTGTGTGTGTGTGTGTGTGTGTGTGTGTGTGTGTGTGTCTACAGACACAGACAGTGGATCTGCAGTGATCGTGTTGGGTTGTTCACTGGGAGGAATCTTCCTCGGGCTTCTTCTTCTGCTTCTGTACGTCCAGCGAAGGAGAAAACGCCAGTTCCAGCCGCTCCTCAACGCAGAGTTCAGCAACACTAAATACACTGAGGAGGCTTAACACACACACACACACACACACACGTTCACTCACTGGGAACAGATCCGGTGAACAAGCCACTCAATGATTATGATTAAAACATTCAGTAAATCAGAGCCTCTGCTGGTCATTTGAGAGAGAAGATCGAGGATTATCAGCGGAATAGTTTGAGCTGTCCTGATATTAAAGAACTTGTTGATATACATGAAACTTCAAAAGCGTGTGGTTCGTATTTTTTTAAGAAATTAATACTTTTATTCATCAAGGACGCATTAAACTGATCAAACTGACAGTAAAGACATTTATAATGTTACAAAAGATTCTATTTCAAATAAATGCTGTTCTTTTGAACTTTCTATTCATCAAAGAATCCTGAGAAATAAAATGTATGACAGTTTCCACATAAATATGAGCTGTGTTCAACACTGATAATAATCATAAATGTGTCTTGAGCATCAGATCCTCATATTAGAGTGATTTCTGAAGGATCATGTGACACTGAAGACTGGAGTAATGATGCTGAAAATTCAGCTTTGATCACAGGAATAAATTACACTTTACTGTATATTCACATAGAGAACAGCTGATTTACACTGGAGTAATATTACACTGTTTTACTGTATTTATGATCAGATAAACGCAGCTTTGATGAGCAGAAGAGACTCAGAAACATTGAAAAATCTCACCGACCCCAAACTTTTGAACAACAGCATGAATCTTTGATTAATCAAAAAAGAAAATAGTGAAAAATCAGAAATTAAACTTTAAAGATGTGTTTTTAAATAAAAGTTTATGTGATTTTCATAACTCTACATTACAGATTGATTTTTGCTTTATTATGGTACAGGTCATATTTCTGTGCCACTGATTTTAAAGTAAGAGTTCATAGAAAAATGAAAATGCATCATAAACTCTTTACAGTAGTTCATCCGACTCGAGTCTGCAGTCATGTGATGTTTTATGTAAAGAACAGATTAAAACGAGCTGAGATCATGTGACACTCACAGAAGTTCAGTGTGTTCTTATACAGAAAACCCAATGAACTGCTGAACGCTGTCGAACAATCACACAGATTCAAGAACGGCACATGATCAATTTACATTTAGAAAAAAAATTAATTGAGAAAGTCCTTGCCCTGATTCCTGTCCGCGGAAGAGACGCAGAATCCAGAGGAATATTGAGGATAACTCTCAGAAACTCGACTGAAAGATGAACTGTCACATGAATCTGTGCTGATAGAGACATCGATCACAACACTAACACTCAAAGTAGTTTAGTTTGGCTTCTGGTTGCAAACAGCAACAGGCTATATTATTTAAAAAAACTATTTTTGATGAAGTTGATGAATTGGTGTGTAAACATCTTTCATGCAGTAATATGGGGAATGTGAACGGAATTGAATCGACATGTAAAGAAACAGATTTCACCGTGAAACTGATGCGTTGTAATGATATTTAAAACGACTAGAGAAAGCTACAGTTCTTATACGGCTTTTTGATTTTATGATTATTCTAACAGTTTGTTTGTTTGTTTGTTTTAACTGTGTCCTGATTTGTTCAACATCTCTAAGTATTTACTGGTTTAGTCAACATTGTTTCCTCCGTATTATATATAAAATAATAAAAACAAAGAGCATTGCACTTCTTAATATCCTCACATTCTATTCTTAAAACATCTGGGCAAAAAGCAGTAAATTATCCCAAATTAATCTCTGTACAATGTTATTAAAATCATTTTCTTAATCAATATTTTTTGTTTTTCAGTCAAATATTAAAATAACCGTTAAACAAGATTCATTTTAAAATGGAGTAGATTGGTAAAGACAAAAAATAAATGTATTTCTCTACTTCAACAAACTGTTGACTTTTCTTTTCTTAAGTATAAAACATATTCAGAGTGGGACATACTTTTGAAAAGAGAAACTACTTCTCAGTGGTGTAAGAAACGCAGACTACAGTCTCAAACAATCGTGCTTCTTTATAAAACTATTCTCCGTTAAAAATATGTATTTTGGTGGGGAAAAAATCTGATTAAGAACATGAGTTTTGCAGCACAAGTGTACAAATCAATAAGAATAATACTGGAAGATGTTGGCAGGAATTACAATGCAATAATATCTGGTTTCCTAAAGCTAATTAATAGTTTCTCAGGAACCACAGCTTTACCATCCAGCTCATTTAGGTAGAAAACATGATAAAAACATATAATAAAAGTCCCACAAATCTATATTTCTTTCCATGATAATGCATTATTGTTTACAATCTTCCATCTTCTACATACACACAAATCTCCCAGAAAAGCCGATGACAGACCGACCGTTCGAACAATTCTGAATATGAAGGATGAGGTTTCACAAACTATAATTCATAAATTAGTAAAAATAAAACATCTGAAATCATTGATCAAGATATTCTTCACTTTTGTTTACTGGATCTTTCTGGTTTTCAGCTGTAATGGCATTATGGCAATATAATTATGAAAGATGATAAGAACTGTGACTGTTAGTTTTATCATAACCAGATTGCAGAGGATAAATCACACAACGCAGGGCTTGTTTTCTGGACGTGATTGTGATGTTATAAACTAGCTACAACTACAACTGAACAAACTGAAATATTGAGCAATAATTTAAAACATGCCATGACACATCAACTGCTGTCAGTCACCGGCTCTGAAAGAAGCTTTATGATGGATTCATGTTTTCAGAAAGGGTTTGATATTATACATTATTATATTCATTACCGGTCAAATGTTTGGGCTTCGTGAGATTTGTTAATGTTTCTGAAAGAGTCTCTTCTAAGTTGCATTCATTTGATCATAAATACAGTAAAACAGTGTAATATTACTCCAGTGTAAATCATCTGTTTTCTATGTGAATATACAGTAAAGTGTAATTTATTCCTGTGATCAAAGCTGAATTTTCAGCATCATTACTTCAGTCTTCAGTGTCACATGATCCTTCAGAAATCACTCTAATATGAGGATCTGATGCTCAAGACACATTTATGATTATTATCAGTGTTGAAAACAGCTCATATTTCTGTGGAAACTGTCATGCATTTTATTTTTCAGGATTATTTGATGAATAGAAAGTTTTTATTTGAAATAGAAACTTTTGTAACATTATAAATCTTTTTACTGTCACTTTTGATCAATTTAATGCGTCCTTGATGAATAAAAGTATTAATTTCTTTAAAAAATCTCACTAAACCCAGACATTTAAACGGTAGTGTATGTTCATCCAGATATTCTCTTCTGCATTCACAAAAGCTTCACCTGCATGAACATGTTCAAGATGCGTATGAGAAAAATAAAAAGAGAAGATCCTAATAATCGGCACAACATAACAGATAAAGTCAGTTACAGAAATAGTTCTGGAATTATTTTCTTTAGCATTGACTGTCAAGCTCCAAATAAAAGGTTTGCGTGAGGAAATGATGAAGAATTTAAATTTTGGGGTGAATTAACTCTTTAAACTACTGTACTGGAGCTTAAGAAGAGCCTTGAATTCCGCTTGTAAAGCTTCCAGCCACTGGAGATCTGGACCGTACGGCTTCAGTGTGTGTGTGTGTGTGTGTGTGTGTGACACTATCTGACGGCCAGCGCGCTGAAGAACAGCAGCAGAACCTCCAGCCGGACGCTGGACGCTGAAGACGTGTCGTCTCTGTTCTCCTGCTCCTGAACCGGAGTGTGGGTCGGGTGGGTCGGGTGGGTCGGGTCGGTCCTGAAGGATTCTGATTCTGTGACACCGGAGCCGGAGCCGGAGCCGGAGCCGGAGCCGCTGCTCTCTTCATCTGAGACTGAGATGGAGGAAAAGATAACAATCTCAAAATCATGGACCCGGTTTATGCCAACATTCAAAGGTCTGGCTATGAAAAACATCTCGGGTTACGAACACTTGTTCCCTGAGAAGGGAACGAGACTGCGTCGGAACGACACTTTGGGGAACACTCTTAGCGTAACGCGTCTGAAGTATGAAGGAAACTTCAGGAAACCTGTCGTTGTTGCATGATGACGTAGCGTGTGACGGCATACACGGAAGCTACAAAGGGACGCCGGCACACAACAGAGTTAGCTGCGCGATGAAGCAAGTCGCTCCCAGACGGGAGGAGGCATGGCGGAGGGACGCAGTGTCTCGTTCCCTTCTTAGGGAACAGGGGTTACAGTCGTAACCCGAGACGTTCCCTTTCGAGGGAACTCACACTGCGTCGGAACAACACGTTGGGGAACGAGTACCCACTATGCCACAACGAACCCCGCCTGTCCCAGTGTGAGGCTGAAACAGGCACAAGGAGCACTCGTGCGCCGGGTGTAGAGGGGAGGTCCAGACTATAAAACCTTGTGAATGTATGAGGGGTGGCCCAGCCAGCTCTATCACACACTTCTTGGATCGGGGCCCCTGAAAGGAGGGCTCTAGAGGACACCATGCCTCTGGTAGAGTGAGCCCTCACAGCCAAAAGTATTGGTAAACTGCACACCTGATAGGCCAGGGAAATAGCCTGAACAATTGCTGATGGTCTGTTTAGAAGCGGGGAGCCCCTTCTTGGGCGACCCGAATCACACCAGCAACTGGTCTGCCTTCCTCCACTGAGAAGACCTCTGAACATAGATGTTAAGTGCTCTGATAGGGCAGAGTAAATGAAGTCTTTCTTCATCCGCCGTCACGTGAGGCCTGCAGAACTGTAGGCGGTGCCACATCAGAGGCACTTTAGGCACATAGCCCGGCCTGGGATGCAAGATCAACTTAATGTCGCCTGGAGCAAACTCCAGGCACTCGGGGAAATAGAGAGCGCATGAAAATCCTACTTTCCACAGAGAAGTAATGGCTAATAGAAAAGCTACCTTGAGGGAAAGGTTCTTGGCCTCAGCCGACTCCAGAGGTTCGAAGGGGGCCTCGACCAGTCCTTCGAGAACCACTGCCAGCTCCCATGTGGGAACTCTGGTTGGAACATCGACTTCCTGAGGGCTCCATGGAGGAGCGAGAACTTGACGCCCCCTAGAGGGCATCTTCAGAGGTTTGTGCATAGCGTCAGGTCCTTACCCGAAGCCGCTTTCGAGAAATAACTGTCCTCAGACCGGTTATCTCTTTGAAAAGCATCGGGCAAGATGATCTTTTTTTGCTGTACGCGTCAAGATATTTCTCAATGAACACAGCCAGAACCCTCAAGAGCCGACTGTGCATGCCTCGCATCCAAACAGTATCACACACCGTTCGCGTGCGTCACCTCCCGAAGTTTAACATGGGCTTTCAGCTGTGCTTATAGTAACAATTAAATTTCCTACAGGACAAACAACACCAAATAGAACAGACAGTTGATACAGAGCTCTTGCTGAAGAGCAAAAAGCTAATTCTGTTGTGTGCCGTCACACGCTACATCATCACGCAAGGCCAATCAGGATTGGATTAGTTTCATGCATACTTCAGACGCGTTACGCTAAGAATGTTCCCCAAAGTGTCGTTCCTACGTAATGCGAGTTCCCTCGAAAGGGAACTAACAATGACTAAAGCTGCATTTCCACCGCAGGAACTTTCCCCAGGAACTATGGAGTTTAGGCTCTGTGTATTTCCACTGCAGGGTCTAAATGAAGTTACGGGTAAATATTTCCCCCTCTACTGGAGGTAGTACTTCTTCTAAGTTCAGGAACTTTCGGGTTTGGGACTTGGGCGCTCAACATGCTGATTGGTTGAAATCATGCCGCATTTTGATTGGTTGACTCCACGCAGCATTTTACTTCAACCACCATTTTTTTTGGTGTGCAGTAATTTGCTATTCGAATCAACAATGGAGTTTAAAAAACACGACAGATGGACCGACGACAAGGTTCAGGCTTTATTAAGCTTAAATTCAGAGTCCTACGTCACCGGACTAATTTGCCTGATCTTCACGGTACTTTAGACCGCGGTGGAAACGCAGACAGCAACAGGTCTGGGGGGGGAAAGTTCCTGGGATAAATTGTTCCGGGTAGTTTCGGTGGAAACGTGACTAAACTCTGGAAACAATTGTGAAAGCAGGCGATGCTTCAAGCTCGACTTCCCAGAAAACCTCATCATGTCGTTTGATCATCGCACGGATAATTCTCCGCTCGGAGGTCATCAATAAGACACATCTGTGCTTCTGAACACACGTGAGCATTCGTCAGACTCACTGGAGTCCTGGAAGTGGAGGTCCGTGCCGTGGTAAGCGTTCTTCAGCTTGTTGCTCATCATCCGGAGAGCCATGATCTGCAGTCGGACCACAGCGTCGGGTCGGGGAGAGTCTGTGCTGTTATTCTCCTGAAGGACCCATACGTCTTTCTGAACCTCAGGGTCGAATCTGGAACAAAACAACTGGGTAGATCAGCAAACTCCACGCATAGGATTCAGATAATTTACACATTTTGAGCACACATGAATACACTCATTAATATTCAATAGCACATGAATACGCTCATTAATATTGGCAGCGCACATGAATATGCTAATCCATGATGTTTATGATGGACAGATGCACTTTTATGATGGACAGATGGTTATTCACTGGCATTATAAAGCTTGGAAGAGCCAGGACATTTTTTAATATAACTCTGATTGTATTCGTCTGAAAGAAGAGTGTCATGTACACCTGGGATGGCGTGAGTTTGAGTAAATCATGGGCTAATTTTCATGTTTGGGTGAACTATCCCTTTAATATTAGCAGCGCACATGAATACGCTCATTAAAGTAGTGCACATGATGGTCATTAATATGAATATGCTGATGAAGATGAACAAGCGTGATGAGTGTTACCGGCCCTGCTCGAGGCCGTTCCAGCAGTTCTCGTTCTCCACCGTCGCCACATGCTCCTCCTGACAGATCGACTCGGGGACTGACGCCCAGAACCTCCGGAACCGCTTCAGCTTCTCCTTGATGTCCGTCACCTGATGATGAACACATGATGAACACACAGCTTTTACTGACAGAAACTATGTTCAAATGATTCAAAACAATTAAATTCCAGATGTTTCAGTCAATGTTTTAGTATCATTGAGATATTTTTATAGTTTTTATTAAAAGATTGAATTCATTTTTATTTTTATATTTTTTGTGATTTTTTTTCTTTATATAGTTTTTATAGATTTTTTGTTTTATTTGAGTACATCAAATGAAAATGGAAATGTTTCCTTTACTAGATTAAATATTAATACATTTTTTATATGTTATTTTATTTCTGTTAACGTTTATTTTATATCAAGAAACAATTGTTTAGTTAACTATAATAACCAATGTTCTTTAGGGTTCACACTTTTTCTTACCAATTAATTTACTTAACTTTTCTTTTTTTCTTATAAACTAGTGTTTGAGGGCGTGGCTAAGAGACGCTACTCAGCCAATCAAGACCAGAGGCTGGCATTATGCTAATGTGACCTGCACTGAACCATCATCCACATGAAGTGTGTGTGTGTGTATGTGTGTGTGTGTGTGTGTGTGTGTGTGTGTGTGTGTGTGTGTGTGTGTGTGTGTGTGTGTGTGTGTGTGTGTGTGTGTGTCCTCCACTAGAGGGAGCACATGCTTCAGTCCAGGAACCAGGAACTGCTCGCTGAAACTCAAACACACCTGAGATGTGCCCGTGTGTGTGTGTGTGTGTGTGTGTGTGTGTGTGTGTGTGTCCTCCACTAGAGGGAGCACATGCTTCAGTCCAGGAACCAGGAACTGCTCGCTGAAACTCAAACACACCTGAGATGTGCTCGTGTTATAATGATGAGGGAGGGCGGATAATGTAATGGTTTATTTTTTTCTAAATTAATTACGTTTTTTTTTTTTTTTTTTTTAAAGAAATGCTTTTATTCATCAAGGACGCATTAAATTGATCAAAAGTGACAGTAAAGACATTTATAATTATACAAAATATTCTATTTCAAATAAACCTTCACCCTTCAGGGGCAAAAAGCATCTTTCTCCACTGACGACCATTACAAACTGATTATATATATATTTATATATATATATACAGCATATATGATGTGTTTAACCGTCTACAGGCCAGACACGGAGACACCCGATGGCTTCACTGCTGATGGATGTTTGGCGAATGCTGTTTGTCAGGCTGCAATCAGCACAGCACACGCCTTTACACACACACACACTCTCTACACAAGTCTGACGCACAGCACACGGCTTTACACACACACACACTCTACACAAGTCTGACGCACAGCAGCACACGGCTTTACACACACACACACACACACACACACACACACACACACACACACACACACACACACTCTACACAAGTCTGACGCACAGCACACGGCTTTACACACACACACACTCTACACAAGTCTGACGCACAGCAGCACACGGCTTTACACACACACACACACTCTACACAAGTCTGACGCACAGCAGCACACGGCTTTACACACACACACACACTCTACACAAGTCTGACGCACAGCACACGGCTTTACACACACACACACACACTCTACACAAGTCTGACGCACAGCAGCACACGGCTTTACACACACACACACACACACACTCTACACAAGTCTGACGCACAGCACACGGCTTTACACACACACACACACACACACACACACTCTACACAAGTCTGACACACAGCAGCACACGGCTTTACACACACACACACACTCTACACAAGTCTGACGCACAGCAGCACACGGCTTTACACACACACACACACACACACTCTACACAAGTCTGACCTCGTCGTGTTTACTTTATGTGGTATGTTGTGAAAGTGATAATTAAACTCACGCATGTATAATGCATTTGATTTGAGCTTGAGTAAAAAAAAAAACATGGCTAGAAAAAAGGACGAACGACCTTCATTCTGTTTTCCATGAAAAAAAAAACTATTTTAAGTCACTAGCATTTTAGAAAGTAAAGATTTTATCATGATGTTCTATCCTTAACTCCAACAGAATACACATACATTTCTAAAAACATACATCAAAGATATTTATGCCTCTAAATTCAATATATTCACACACACATATATATATATACACGTGTGTGTGCGTGTGTGTGTATATATATATATTGAAGGGTTGGTCAAAATCCCTTGCCTCTTCAAATACATATATAATCATATATCATTTTGAATGGTTATATACTTCCTTTATAAAAATCAATAATCAAATATATTCATTATCACATAATAATTTTTATATTCTTTGTGCCTGTGAAATTATATTTTCTTAAATGCATGGATGCAAGTAACCAGTTTCTTTTAGGTGCATTCCAATCTTACTTTGAGATTGCACGTAGTACACGCAGGACACGAAGGCCACGGAACCCACAAGGCCGTTTGTCTCTTTCTCTGGGATCAGTAGAAAGGTTAGAGGGTCCTAAAGGCAGCGTGGACACATATGATTCTTCGCTGGACATATAGTCAAGCTATATTGAGCGTTACTATCAAACTTTAATTGTTGTATTAAAATGTATTCTTTCCAGTATATTTCCTTCCTTGGGAGTAAATGCCAGTGATCTGTTTTTCTCCCAAACGAGTGAATGTTTTAGCATTATGTTTTGGTATACTTAACTGATAATAAGGAGCTCAGACTCTCTTCAGCCTTGATGGGAGCTGTTATTTGCTAGTGTCTGTTATTTGTGTGTGTGTGTGTATGACATTCTATGTAGGTTCTGGACGGTCGGACCAGACACCCCGGCGCCCTTCTCTAACCTGCGAGGCCACCACAGACCTAAATCTAATGAGTGGACGACAACTATCTTTACTAATGGCGATAGGCACCCCTATCTCCTCACATGTGTTAAATTGTTTAGGCTTTCATGTTTCTTAGCCAATGAGAATCATTCAACCTGTAAGCAATGACGTAGCTTAGACCTTGGAAATGGTATAACTGCTGTGATCTTTGTAACTGTAAGCGGGGCGGCCTACGAACTCCTGTGTGAGTCTTGAAGCTGACTTCTGCTGATGAAAATGCAAACTATCTTCAGTAAAACTTTTCTTTAATTTTTTATAATTCTGACTCCGGGTCTTCATTCTTCATATCTGGTTCTGGGTCTTTGACTGTACTCCCCTTACAATATATATATATGTATGTGTGTTTGTGTGTGTGTGTGTGTGTGTATATATATATATGTGTGTGTATATATATATATATGTATGTGTGTGTGTGTGTGTGTGTGTGTATATATATATATATGTGTGTGTGTGTATGTGTATGTGTGTATGTGTGTGGAGATTCTCTCTCACCAGGCGTTGCAGTCGGGATCCGGTGGTTACGGTGGGCAGATCCTCAGGGTGTGTGTGTGAGTGTGTGTGTGTGAGGTGTGTGAGATCCTCATGGCTGTCGGGACTGAAGATGAACGTGTTCGGGACGCTCCGGGAGGATCGGCTCATTCCCGAGGGATTCGGCTGCCCACATCCCTGGAAAACCTGCAATTACACGGAGATCTAGAGTCGGTCTGAAACTCTGAAACACACACACACACACACACACACACACTGACCCGTATCAGGGAACGCGCTTCGCACTCCGAAATAACATGAGGAATGAAAACTAAATGGTCACGTCCAAGTCTAAAGTTAGGTTGACTCTCGACCACATGTTATTCGTGCTGTAACTCAGAGCCACAGGATCGTGATGAACAGAATCCACAACACAGGTTTGGAATAAAGTTCTGAATTTGGTTCCACTAGTTTTGTGTATTTGTTTTCATTTTGGATTTAAATATGAAAAATGCTGAAAACATGTGTAAAGTTGATGCAGAACATGTCTAAGCATGTTTTAATCGACTTCAAGATTTTAGGTTAAATTTATATTAACAAATGCGAGAAAACGTAGATTTTTGACTGTGACTGATTGATTTTTATCATTTTAATCAACTTCACCAGCTCATTTTAAATGGTCCTGCAATGTGACAACCTACCAATGATTGACTTATAATCATCGCTGCATATTAATACTAGAATTAAATTCAAATGTATGCCTTTAGCAGTAGTGGTCGACTAATATTTTTCTGTCTGGCCCATAAGTGTCGAAAGCGGACTTTGATTTCAGCAGCATACTTAATTACTTAATCCTGAAAAAAACAGAGATTTTAATTATTGGACAAAAAACGTCCACACGTTATAACCCAGAATACTGTCTTACACTTAATGGCTGCTCTGTCAAGTCTACGTCGTCAGTTAGGAACCTGTGTGTGTGTGTGTGTGTGTGTGCTCTTTGATAGCAATCTTTCATTTGAAAGTCACGTGTCTAGTATCTGTAAAACTGCATTCTTCCATCTTAAAAATATATCTAAATTACGTCATATGCTCTTATTGACAAATGCAGAACAATTAGTTCATGGGTTCATGACCTCAAGGCTAGATTACTGTAATGCTCTACTGGGTGGTTGCCCTGCACGCTTAATAAACAAACTACAGCTAGTCCAAAACGCCGCAGCTCGAGTTCTTACCAGAACCAGGAAGTATGACCATATTAGCCCGGTTCTGTCAACACTGCATTGGCTCCCTATTAAACATCGTATACATTTTTAAATATTGCTGATCACTTACAAAGCACTAAATGGTTTAGCTCCCAGTGCTTGAGCGAGCTCTTAACGCATTATAGTCCTTCACGTCTATTGGGTTCTCTAAACTCCGACCAGTTGATAATACCTAGAATATCAAAATCGACTGCAGGCGGGAGATCCTTTTCCTATTTAATAATAATAATAAATAATATTAATAATTCATTACATTTATATAGCGCTTTTCTAGGCACTCAAAGCGCTTCACATGGAAGGGGGAATCTCCTCAACACCACCAATGTGCAGCTCCACCTGGATGATGCGACAGCAGCCATAGTGCGCCAGAACGCCCACCACACACCAGCTTACTGGTGGAGAGGAGACAGGGTGATGAAGCCAATCAGTGTATATATATATGGGGATGATTAGGAGGCCATGATGGACAGAGGCCACTGGGCAAATTTGGCCAGGACACCGGGGTTACACCCCTACTCTTTCGAAAGACATCCTGGGATTTTTTGTGACCACAGAGAGTCAGGACCTCAGTTTAATGTCTCATCCGAAGGACGGTGCTCTTTGACAGTATAGTGTCCCCATCACTACACTGGGGCGTTAGGACCCACACAGACCACAGCGTGAGCGCCCCCTGCTGGCCTCACTAACACCTCTTCCAACAGCAACCTGGTTTTCTCAGGAGGTCTCCCATCCAGGTACTGACCAGCCTCAGCCCTGCTTAGCTTCAGTGGGCGACCAGTCTTGGGCTACAGGGTGACATGGCTGCTGGTATTTAGCACCAAAACTCTGGAACAGTCTTCCTACCACTGTCCGGGAAGCAGACACACTCTGTCAGTTCAAAGCTAGACTAAAAACACATCTCTTTGACCTAGCATACACATAACACACTATAGACTTCCTTAATTCAATGTTAGGCTGAATAGTTTAGATCAGCCGGAACCGGGAACACTTCCTAAAACACCTGATGTACTCGTTACATCATAAGAAGAATGCCTTCTATGCTAATGTTAGTCTCTCTGTTTATCCCGAGGTTTACCGCAGTCAGCCGGATCCGGGCCGTATCCAGATCAGCCGGTGGACCTGCGCCTGGACACGTCCACAACTCATCCTGCAGTGCCAGCCTCATCAGCCCTGTGAAGGCCTCATCGACACGACAGCATCGGCACTGATCCTCAACAGACTCGTCTCCATACCGGCGTGACTCCGACCTCCAACCAGAGGGAACTGGATAAATACTCTGAATGTTCTGATCCAATCTGACCTCTGACCTGTAATGCCTGGATCATAATCACACACTGTTCACTCATTGGCCAGAGGAGAACTGAGCGACTGAGACTGGGTTCTGAGGTGACTTGACAGCAGATTATTGAGTTTCAGTGAAACCCCTTTCTATTCAAGTTTTTAACTATTTCTTTATTTGTGAAATATACTATAATAGTATTACATAATAAATAAGTTTCTCTCTAAACTATATATAAACTATAAAGTTTATCAAGTTCAAATTATTTTTTGCATACTGACAGTTTCCAATTATTTCTAATTTGGAAAATTTGTGAAATTAATATACATTTTGTTGCAGGAATTGTTATGCATGTGTTATTTCTGGTCTTCAAATACAAAATAACACATATAGCTAATATCAGCTCAATATCAGAAATCAAAAAATCCTTAAGGATCATTCGCTATTTAGCAGACGCTTTTATCCAGAGCCACTTACAAAAGAGGAACGAAACCAAATTGTCAAAGAGCCAGTAATAATTGTAATATTCAGGTCATGCATGATTCATGCGTTTTTGACCCTTACAAGGCATATTTTAATTAAGTCAAATATTTTGCGTAAAAGTATGTCTCATATATACAGTGATTTAAACATAATAAAACTAAACTAGTTTTAATGCCAGATTTATTATTAGACAACTAGGAAGAACGCTAGAGCAGAAACAGAAAGGATTGTAACATGTGAAACTGCATGACCTTGAACTATTCCCGTGAGCGCAGGAGAACAGCAGCTAGCATTCCTCTCCTCCAGGACCTGTGATTAGCGGTGGACTCGAGCGCACACACGCTTCAGTGCTGGACTACACGTCTGACCATCGCAACTATGCCGTTATAAATAACCCTGAAGCGGGAGGCTGAGGTTTGGAGCCGTCGCAGTGAAGGATAAAGCTGAACAGATGATCTCAGAACATGAGTATGGAGATGTGCTAACATGAGAACCTGGTAGGAGATCTGCATGCTGTTCTCCTGCATGTTCATGATGGCTTCGGAGATCTTCACGTCGACGGGCTCCATCACAGACTCGATGTTGAACGGTCCCTCGAGTCGCTCCGTCACCAGGAGCATGGCATCTGTCCAACACACAGATCGAGTCCGTTAACAGTGTCTGACAGAAAACAGAAGCATCGTCTCAGTCTGATGAAGAAACAACCGCTCAAAACTGTCACATAATGCAAAAATAATGCAAAATTGGTCCTTAAAATAGGCTTTGTTTTCTTTTAAAGAAAAAAATTATTTATAAAGGAAAAAAAACAATGAAAAAAGACTGCAAAAGTGGTCTTTAAAGGCCGAAAAATCATTTGTATATATAAATATCATTATTACAGTAACGGTTTACAATAAGGTCTTATTTGTTAACATTATTTAATAGTGGTGTAACGATACCCTCATGTCGATACATATCACGATACTGAACTCGATATTATTGCGATACTCCAAAACATGTGATAAAAGGTTAACAAAAAATGTACTGTGCTAAATTTGATATTACATTGTGTGTGTAAATGAATATTCTTGGTGCTGATAAACCCAAAGCACAGGACAATAGAGACTCCAGAATAAACATATTCATGGTTCTGAAGATGAAAATACAGAATTGTTTTAGTCGAATATGCTTCATCTCTGTCACTGACTAGATATATTAAAAATAACACTTTTTACTGGTAACATCGCACATTTGGCATTATCAGGACCCACAAATATTCCCTCATTATATACATTATATATCGTAGTTATACTGACATTAAAACTTGAATTTTTTTCTCACACAATACATACACAATTTATATTGTCACTATCCACGATACATATTGTTGCAGTTTTGTATTGCGATATATTGTGACTCGATGATTTGTTACACCCCTATTATTTAATGTATTAACTAACAGGAACTAACAGTGAGCAATACATTTGTTACAGTAATTCATATTTGTTAATGTTAATAAATAAAAATGCAGTTCATTGTTTGTTCATGTTAGTTCACAGTGCATTAATGTTAACAAATACAACTTTTCATTTTAATAACGCATTAGTAAATGTTGAAATTAACATGAATTAAAATTAATAAATGCTGTAGAAGTGTTGTTCATTCTTAGTTCATGTTTACTAATGAAACGTTATTGTAAAGATTTATTACCATTATTACCATTTGATGTTTTTCCAGTTGCAGGTTATTAAAATAAGCTGATTATGGATGGATGAACATAACGCCTCTAATACATTCACAGGCGTAATCATGTCAGATGACGCGGGTGTGGCAACAGATCCGTCCACAATGTCCACATGTATTTCCCCTGCAGGCGTGGACTGAAGACCCGAGCGCCACAGAAACCTCTGAACATGATGTGGAGAGCTGGCATACACCGCTTTAATAACACACTGGCCAGACAACACGGCTCCACTGGGAACCAGTCAACAGATATCACAGAAAACCAGCAGGAGTTTCCTCATCACCTTCACAGAAACGTTCACTTCAAGGGATAGTTCACCCAAACATGAAACATACTCCATGATTTACTCTCCCTCAAGCCATCCTAGGTGTATATGACACTCTTCTTTCAGACGAACACAATCAGATTTTTTTTCAATCTGTTTTGAAGTCCATAAAACTGCATCTGTCCATGATAAAAGTGCATCCATCCATCATAAAAGTGCATCTATCCATCATAAAAGTGCATCCATCCATCATAAAAGTGCATCTATCATCATAAAAGTGCATCTATCCATGATAAAAGTGCATCCATCCATCATAAAAGTGCATCTGTCCATCATAAAAGTGCATCCATCCATCATAAAACTGCATCTGTCCATGATAAAAGTGCATCCATCCATCATAAAAGTGCATCTGTCCATCATAAAAGTGCATCCATCCATCATAAAAGTGCATCTATCCATCATAAAAGTGCATCCATCCATCATAAAAGTGCATCTATCATCATAAAAGTGCATCTGTCCATCATAAAAGTGCATCCATCCATCATAAAAGTGCATCCATCCATCATAAAAGTGCATCTATCCATGATAAAAGTGCATCCATCCATCATAAAAGTGCATCTGTCCATCATAAAAGTGCATCCGTCCATTATAAAAGTGCATCTGTCCATCATAAAAGTGCATCCATCCATCATAAAAGTGCATCCGTCCATCATAAAAGTGCATCCGTCCATCATAAAAGTGCATCCATCCATCATAAAAGTGCATTCGTCCATCATAAAAGTGCATCTGTCCATCATAAAAGTGCATCTGTCCATCATAAAAGTGCATCCGTCCATCATAAAAGTGCATCCATGCATCCATCCATCATAAAAGTGCATCCATCCATCATAAAAGTGCATCTGTCCATCATAAAAGTGCATCCATCCATCATAAAAGTGCATCCATGCATCCATCCATCATAAAAGTGCATCCATCCATCATAAAAGTGCATCTGTCCATCATAAAAGTGCATCCATCCATCATAAAAGTGCATCCATCCATCATAAAAGTGCATCTGTCCATCATAAAAGTGCATCTGTCCATCATAAAAGTGCATCCATCCATCATTAAAGTGCATCCATCCATCATAAAAGTGCATCTATCCATGATAAAAGTGCATCTATCCATCATAAAAGTGCATCTGTCCATCATAAAAGTGCATCCATCCATCATAAAAGTGCATCCATCCATCATAAAAGTGCATCTATCCATGATAAAAGTGCATCCATCCATCATAAAAGTGCATCTGTCCATCATAAAAGTGCATCCGTCCATTATAAAAGTGCATCTGTCCATCATAAAAGTGCATCCATCCATCATAAAAGTGCATCCGTCCATCATAAAAGTGCATCCGTCCATCATAAAAGTGCATCCATCCATCATAAAAGTGCATCCGTCCATCATAAAAGTGCATCTGTCCATCATAAAAGTGCATCTGTCCATCATAAAAGTGCATCCGTCCATCATAAAAGTGCATCCATGCATCCATCCATCATAAAAGTGCATCTGTCCATCATAAAAGTGCATCTGTCCATCATAAAAGTGCATCCGTCCATCATAAAAGTGCATCCATGCATCCATCCATCATAAAAGTGCATCCATCCATCATAAAAGTGCATCTGTCCATCATAAAAGTGCATCCATCCATCATAAAAGTGCATCCATCCATCATAAAAGTGCATCTGTCCATCATAAAAGTGCATCTGTCCATCATAAAAGTGCATCCATCCATCATTAAAGTGCATCCATCCATCATAAAAGTGCATCTATCCATGATAAAAGTGCATCTATCCATCATAAAAGTGCATCCGTCCATTATAAAAGTGCATCCGTCCATCATAAAAGTGCATCCAACCATCATAAAAGTGCATCCGTCCATCATAAAAGTGCATCCGTCCATCATAAAAGTGCATCCATCCATCATAAAAGTGCATCCGTCCGTCATAAAAGTGCATCTGTCCATCATAAAAGTGCATCTGTCCATCATAAAAGTGCATCTGTCCATCATAAAAGTGCATCCGTCCATCATAAAAGTGCATCCATGCATCCATCCATCATAAAAGTGCATCCATCCATCATAAAAGTGCATCTATCCATCATAAAAGTGCATCTGTCCATCATAAAAGTGCATCCATCCATCATAAAAGTGCATCCATCCATCATAAAAGTGCATCTGTCCATCATAAAAGTGCATCTGTCCATCATAAAAGTGCATCCATCCATCATAAAAGTGCATCCATCCATCATAAAAGTGCATCTATCCATCATAAAAGTGCATCCGTCCATCATAAAAGTGCATCCATCCATCATAAAAGTGCATCCGTCCATCATAAAAGTGCATCCATCCATCATAAAAGTGCATCCGTCCATCATAAAAGTGCATCCATCCATCATAAAAGTGCATCCATCCATCATAAAAGTGCATCTATCCATCATAAAAGTGCATCTGTCCATCATAAAAGTGCATCCATCCATCATAAAAGTGCATCCGTCCATCATAAAAGTGCATCCATCCATCATAAAAGTGCATCTGTCCATCATAAAAGTGCATCCATCCATCATAAAAGTGCATCCGTCCATCATAAAAGTGCATCTATCCATTATAAAAGTGCATCTATCCATCATAAAAGTGCATCTATCCATCATAAAAGTGCATCCATCCATCATAAAAGTGCATCTATCCATCATAAAAGTGCATCTATCCATCATAAAAGTGCATCCATCCATCATAAAAGTGCATCCGTCCATCATAAAAGTGCATCCATCCATCATAAAAGTGCATCTGTCCATCATAAAAGTGCATCCATCCATCATAAAAGTGCATCCGTCCATCATAAAAGTGCATCTATCCATTATAAAAGTGCATCTATCCATCATAAAAGTGCATCCGTCCATCATAAAAGTGCATCCATCCATCATAAAAGTGCATCCATCCATCATAAAAGTGCATCCGTCCATCATAAAAGTGCATCTGTCCATCATAAAAGTGCATCCATCCATCATAAAAGTGCATCCATCCATCATAAAAGTGCATCTATCCATCATAAAAGTGCATCTGTCCATCATAAAAGTGCATCCATCCATCATAAAAGTGCATCCATCCATCATAAAAGTGCATCTATCCATCATAAAAGTGCATCTATCCATCATAAAAGTGCATCTGTCCATCATAAAAGTGCATCCATCCATCATAAAAGTGCATCTGTCCATCATAAAAGTGCATCTGTCCATCATAAAAGTGCATCCATCCATCATAAAAGTGCATCCATCCATCATAAAAGTGCATCTATCCATCATAAAAGTGCATCCGTCCATCATAAAAGTGCATCCGTCCATCATAAAAGTGCATCCGTCCATCATAAAAGTGCATCCATCCATCATAAAAGTGCATCCATCCATCATAAAAGTGCATCCATCCATCATAAAAGTGCATCTATCCATCATAAAAGTGCATCCGTCCATCATAAAAGTGCATCCATCCATCATAAAAGTGCATCCGTCCATCATAAAAGTGCATCTGTCCATCATTAAAGTGCATCTGTCCATCATAAAAGTGCATCTGTCCATCACAAAAAGTGCATCTGTCCATCATAAAAGT